TCTCTGTCATTTGTGGCATATGCTTCTGGTGTCAGCTGAAATGAACTTTGTTCAGCAAAATGGTCCGTAAATATTGGTTTGGGTTTGGCAACACGAGTGAACAAATCAGTATTTCTGCCTTATCCTGAGTTTATCCAAACAAACCCAATAGTTTTATATTTAAAAATCCGGGCACTAATTGTTTCAGTCTCGAGTGTCCCCCCATCTGTCCCTGAGTATTAATCATCTGCAGAGCTTTTTGCTTTTAACACGGCCGCCCAGCACTCGGGGGACAAACCACCCTCTCGGTTGTTAACTGTGCTTGAAAATCTGCCGGCGTTATTTTACTTAGCCTACGCAATTTTAACGTTCCCGAAAACAGAAATGTTAAACAAGGAGCCCTTCTTAGTGTGGGAAGAAAGGAGCCCAGGGGGCAGTCACCGCACCAGGCTGTCCCCGTGCCGTGTGAGCTAACCGAGAAAGGAAGCGTGGGGACGTTCTCTCTGGCAGGACGGTTCGGGGCCTTGTTCTGTGAGCCGTCCTCTGCTCCCTGGCTGTGGGCCCCGGCCGTCTCCAGGTTAGCTGCAAAGCCTGGTGTCTTTATTTTTAAACTCGCTGTCACTTCCATGCCCCGTGGGAAGAGAGTGTGAAAAGGATCATTTGTTCTAGGGGCCGAGTTTCAGAGTTTGGATGCCAAGATATTCCTCGGGCTGCCTGGACTTTTTGAAATAAGTGAGAACACTAACTAGCCCTGAGGTCTGCAATAACAACCTGAACGTTTGATGTGTTTAGTGGGGGAAAAAAAAAACCCACAGGGGAATGTTATCTGCGGAAGGTTGAAAGGAAATCAGTTGAGTGCTGAGACTTCCAGCGGTGGAATGTGTATGTTTTAGGATGAAGTTGAACACTTCGGGTCAGGGCCTGGGGTCGGACGGAAAGACAAAACAGCAGGCACCCAGGGAGTGGCGAGAGCTTGCGGACGGTGCTGGAATTCGCCGCCCTCCCCGCCGGGCTGCGTGTCAGGGCGCGTGCACAGGCAGGGGCGAGCCTGCCGCTTGCAGGGCCTGCCCGGTATTGCCCGGCTCTGTCTCCAGCGGACAGACCTCCGCCAGGCTGGGCCAGAAAGGCCGGGCGCGCTCGGTGTTCACCAGGCGCTGGCATCTGGCCTTTGCCGCACATTCAGCTGTCTGTGAACTGGGGCCACGCACCCCGGAGCTCACGGGAGAGCTCTCTGAGGCGCGCCCTGGGGACGTTGCTTTATGGGAATTGGTTCCTAGGTCATCAGCTTCCTTATGTCCTCCTTCCTGCAGTTACGTGACCAGCCTTAGAAGGCTCCTCCGGCCAGGCCTTAAGCCAGCTCTCCCTCCCTTCCTAATTGCCCTTTTGCTACCTTACAAAAGAAAAACACACCCTTTGCCATACCCGCAATCTCACGATGATCCATTATGCCAGGGTGTGTGAGGGGGGACGTGGTTTTACATTTTATTCTAGAGGTACGTGTGCGAAAACACTGGAAGGCTTCCGATCAGATTAAACTTCCTCGAGCAATCTAAATCACAGCTGTCCTTAGATATATAACGCAAGCCCCAAGTGAGGGCTATATTTGTAATTTTAAATTTTCTGGCGGCTCCATTAAAAAAAGGAAAAAGAAATGGGTGGATTAATTTTAATGCTTTTTATTTAACCCAGTATATCCAAAATGTTACCATTTCTACATGTAATCAGTATGAAAAGCTACTGATGAGGTGTTTTGCATGCTTTCTCTGTACTAAGTCTTTAAACTTTGATTTCTGTTTTACACGTATAGCACATCTCAGTTCAGACTGGACATATCCCAAGCGCTCGCATAGCCACATGGGACTAGTGACTACTGCAGTGGGGACAGCACAGTTTTAAGTGATAGAAAGCACAATCTTTAAGCTGTATTTGGGAACCAAGAAGTACTTAGACTGGTTCATGTTTGAATTATGGGGGAAAAAAAACCAAGCTGAGATTGAGAGTACTGATTAAGAACACGAACAGACCGAATCCCGGCCCCACCACCCATCAGCTGGGAGACTTTAGACAAGCTATTCAACCTCTCTTTGTGTCAAAAAATGAGAATAATAATAGTGCTTTTCTCATAATGATTATTTTGAGGATTGAAAAAGCTAATCTATATCAAGCACTTAGAAGGGTGTCTGGCATTTGGTATTTAAGTTTTACTATTATTATTATTTCTGGTAAAACCCACCAAGGTGAAGATTGCTTGAGCCCAGGAGTTAGAGGCTGCAGTGAGTTAGAGGCCAGGGCACTCCAGCCTGGACGACAGAGCAAGACCTTGTCTTTAAAAACAAAAAACAAAAAAACCCACCAAGGTAGCCACGGTGTGGTGGCAAAAACTCTAGTTTTGTCAGAAGACCTGTATTTGAGATCTTCTCCTGCTAGTGATCACTTTGTGTTTTAACTTTTCTGAGCTTCAGATTTCACAAGTTTACAGGAGTCAAACACCTCCTTTCTCCCGGGACACGGTGCTGTGTGACCAGGTGATAAAACGTGTATCATACCTGCCACTCTGGGGAATCTTCATTATGCCAGCACGATGCTTTTAGGTAGTTTTTTATTTCATCTGCCGACTAGCGGTGGTCTGGGAGAGGGGCTTTGTTTTCAAGAGAAACTGGGGACATGAGGGCACAGAGCGGGGTGGCTAGTGGAGCAGAGAGGACAGTCACTAATGAAGGACGCTGAGGGGAGCTTGTGAAGACGTCTGAGGAAGGAGGCTGCTCCTGTGTCGCCGGAGGCCTGCGGGTCCCTGGAGGGCACAGGCTGGCAGCCGGGAAGAGCAGGGCAGGGAGGACAGACTGGAGAGGGCGGGCCCTGCAGAGTGTGAATGCTGCCACCTCACGTCCACCTTCCAAATACCATGCAAATACCTGGGGTAAACCCTAACCTGAAACCGTCCAGACAGGGCGGTCGTGATGAGACGACGGGGCACTATGCATGTAACTTTCCTCCTTGTCTTTTCATGGCTTGATAGCTCATTTCCTTTTATGGCTGGATGTTTCATTGTCTGGATGTCTTACATGATTTTTTAATCTTTATGTGTGTAAATATTTCGTAACTTTTAACGACTAAAACGATAAGCTTGGCAACAGCCCACTGCTGAGTACCCAGGGCCACGGAGCTGACTAACAGAGCTGTAGATTCTGTGACTCAGTCTGTGCATTTTTCCCTGAGCTTCAGCTAAGCACCCTTTGCTTTGCTGTTCTGCATGTGCTGTACCAGATACTGATCGTGTCGTCCTGCCTGTGATGTTGGGCCTGGGGTGGGGTGGGGGCGATACTGTGACTTCAGACAGAAGGACAGTTGCTCTGAGGCAGAGCCATGCCAGAGGGACTTGAGTTCCCCAGCTGCCTATTAGGTCTTCGGAGCTGTGTCTCCAGCTCAGGGCAGGCTTTCGGACGGAAGATTTTGGAATCTTGCCTAAACACGTTCATAAGATGATTTCTTAAGTGGGGCTTTTTCTGGGAATCTCAGTGGTTACTTCCTTCATCACTGCTGTCATGTATGACTCAGAATTTAACTAGTTGTGCTTTTTTGCATGGCTATTATTTTGCAGCAAATCAGAGTGAATCCTCTGTTATCTGGCATATTTGGGGGCAGATCATCTGATAAATATTTTTGTCAGTGGTCGCCATGTACTCCGCAATACACAGTGCTTTCGAGAGTTAACGAAGTTGAGTCTAGGAGTGTAGAGTTGGAAGGCTGTAATTTAGTACACCTTCTTTCTTTTAAAAATGAAGAAATTGAGGCTTAAAGAGTTGAGTAACATGTGCAAAGTTACACAGCTAATTACTGATGGAGCTGGGAGTAGGAAATAGAGCTCCCCACTCCCTGCGTGTGTTCACCGCATCACAGAGTACGATAAAATGTACTTAAACTGAAAAAAAAAAAAAA